GATTTAATAACAATGGAAAAACGCGCTTTGGGGCGATTCAGACTATACGGCCAATAGACCTTTTCGCGGTTAAAACCAACATTGCACAAGGATAAGCAAGCTAAAATTGACAACTTTTTGGATAGTTGCCCGATTTTGTTTTGCCTCACTTTGGGGCGAGACTACAGGCTCCTCGCGCAACGTGTTTCCTGACCGCGCAAAGGGCTATTACCCCGGGGAGGGGGGGGGGGGGGGGGTACTCGACCACGTTTTGGATAGGTACGTGCCGCCAGCGGTCTAATTCCCTGACCCTCTGGGTGATTGATTTGCGACCAGGCCTGCATATGAATTCGCCAAGGTTGTAAGCCAGTGAGCCCGTGCATTTTTGTKAAGCGGTCATATTTGAAAGTGTAAATAAAGAAAGGGAAAGCCCGCATCTCGCCTTTCACTCAGACAAACAGTACAAGTCGTGTTAAATTTATTTACATAACTAAACAAAATGATTATAGAATTAAACCTTTAAGAATTGAATGCTCATATGAAACATTTTCCACCTTAAATACACACGTGTTTTTCAGAAGGGAATTTAGTCGAACTTTTTTCACGATGGAATTTTGTTTTGAGTCGTTTCGACATAAACAGTCGCTATCAAGACATTACACGAAAAACCCCAGTCACCGTTCTAGCTCTCGTTGTAAGGTCAGAGCTAGTAAATGTGTAACTGGCCTGTTACATAACGTCAAATCGTCGAGCACGCTTGCGGCTTATTGCCGAAAATGCGACAAAGAATGAACTACGACCGTTGTTTGTACCAAAAATAACAAACGCTTTAACTCTATTGGAATACGTGGACCTAAGCTGCTCTAGCTCTTCCAGTGATGTTGTAGATACCTCAAAGCTTAGAGGAAACAAGAGCTAAGAAAAATGATTTGCAATGGTTCCTCCTAAGATACATTGGACTTGAACGTCGCTTCAACGACCTTCTGAAGTCTTCGTGAAGTCGGTCATTGCTTCGCATGCAATGGAGAACCCGCGTAGAACACAGAACAATTATTTCTATCAGGGAGGGGAGTCTCGTGGTATTAAAGAAAAAGTTATTTGTTTTTTCATTTTTAAGATAAAATTCTCTTTCTATAACGATAAATATTTGATTGACATTTAAAAGCTATTTTATAAAGATTTTCAATTTCTCTTTGCGTTTTAGCTTCGATTTTTCGGATAGAATAAAATGACAGGCAGCCTACTCCACTGGGTCGAGTTTTGCTGTGCAAATTCCTCCCGTCGGAGGGTTATGTTTACAACATAAGCTTGTCAGCTTTGCGCTGATTGGCTAGTCGCATTTTCTCAAATCACCCAGAT